CCCCAAAACCCCAAAACCCCAAAACCCCAAAACCCCATTAATAGCAACAATAATAATATTAAGCAAGATTAATCGATAGGATGTCTGAACAATGGCCAAGCAATAGCAATGAACATGCAAGACTGCTGGGGAGTCAAGCTGAGAAAAACAAGCACTTCTCTAAAAGCCATCGGGAAATAAGCGGGCTGAGGAGCAAACTTGGAAGCAACTTTAATTAAAATATCTTCAATAAATGACTCGTTCAGAGAATCTGGGGCTGAAGACAATGATACTTCTTCAAAATATAACAAGCCTCAGGAGATGCATCGCCACTTTTCTGGGGATTCCTTCAGCCAAGATGGAGAGTGCGACCTCGACAGTTCAGAACCAAGAATCAGAAGGGTTGATGCAGAATCGAGTACAATGAAATCAGCCGAAGGAGCAGCCAGTAATGATCAGACATTAAATTTTCGACCTGAGAACTCAAGGCAATTACCCCAGGAGAAGTCGAGCAGTTTGACCTCAAGCAGTAAGACCTCATTGGGCTTTTTAAATGACTTCTACTCGAATGTGGTTGATCTGATAAAGTACAGAAACTTGGACAAGCTTGAGGCGCAATTGGAGCAGAATGATGATGTCTTTGGTCCAATTGATATCACGAAGAAAACCATACTCCATTATGCCTGAGAGTTTAACTCACTTGAAATTTGAAAGTTGATTGTAGACTGATTGTTCAGAAGAAAGAAGAGAACCAACCTTAAACTAAATGATTGGGTAAATTGCTCAAACTCAGATGGTCTCACCTCCGTTCACTTCGCTGCTTATAGAGGAAATAATGAACTCATTAGATACCTGGTAAATCTTGGAGCCGATATATATGCTCAGGACAATGATGGGCATAATTGAGTTCACATTGCAGCCCAATCTGACAAAGTGAATACTATTTACTATTTGATCAAGAATTATGGTTTTGATATTAATCAGGGAGACAATAATAACAGCACTGCTCTCCATTGGGCAGCATTTCTAAACAAAGAGAACGCTCTCACCTACTTACTGGCTTGGGGTGCTGATCCGAACAGGCAGGATATAGACAACAATACTCCTCTTCATTTGAGTGTGATATCGGCTTGTCGAGGAACAAAGACGCTAAATATAAAGCTATTATTACTAAAAGGGGCTTCCCGGACTCTGACAAATAATGACCTTTGCACTCCTCTCGATCTTGTCAAAGCAGGTGATCACCTCGAAAACGAACTCAGAGAGATCCTCAAAGAAACCTCAGTGGTCTCCTGTTTCATGCTGAGAGCTCCTTTGGCCAAGATGAGGAAGAATGAAAGAACAGTAGCGTTTTTCTTGGTGATGATCTTTACAGTCATGATTCTTTCATTTTTATACGTGATCCCTACATTCAAGTCGAATTTGGTGGCCATTCTTTCAGGAGTCTTCGGGATCTATTTGTTTGTTTCATTCGGAGGAGTCACAATTAAGAACCCAGGCTATCTTGAACAAGATCCAGATGTAGACTTCCAGGAGCTGCTTAACACTCTCGATCCACTTGATATTTGACCAGAATGAGAAATCATACTGACTCCGAGATGTAGACATTGAAACATCTGCAACAAGTGAGTGGAAAGGTTTGACCACCACTGACCGTACATCAATAACTGTGTGGGTTACAGTAACCACGGATGGTTTCTGTCGTATGTATTTTCAATGGCTCTCAATATTATCCATCACATCGCCCTCTGAAGTCTTGCTCTAGCAAGAGGAGAGGATCCTGGGACCTCTCTTGTTGAAGAGATGGACAATATTGTAATGTTCTATGTGAGCTGATCGATCATTCTGATAATTTGTGGAATCTTTGTGCTACCAGTAATCTTTTTGGTTTTTATCCATATTACTAATTTCATGAAGAACAAGACCACAAATGAAAGATTTTCGAAGCAGAAAGTAAACAATACATCTCTTACGAATAAGATTACGAACTCGGTGGGTGATGACACATCTCCAAGCATCTTGGTAAATGTGGAGTACAACTCTTTCATGGGAAAACAGCACAAGAGTTGATTCTCTAACTGTGCTTCGATGTGAAACTATAAGCCTCCTTCTCAGTTGGAAATGAGAAACGAAATCATGAATCAAGACTAATTTTTAAATTCAATATTTCCTATTAAAAAAGGGGTTTTGGGGTTTTGGGGTTTTGGGGTTTTGGGGTTTTGGGG